CCTGATCAGGTTGGCAGTCAGACCCGCGGCCCGTGGGCTCAGTCAGCTCCCAGGGTCGGTTGGACCTGGGGCTGCCATTACCTGTGGGGCTGGTGGGGCAGCTGAGGCCCAAGGGCTTCCACCTGTGCGGGCTCCTGGGGGCCACCTCTCGGAGGGACCGCAGGCCCCCGGCCGGCCTGCGGGTGGGCCTATCGGGAAGTCCCCGCAGGTGTGGAGGGCCCGGCGCCTTTGTCTGGGGGTCACAGCCCAGCTGCGCGGAGTCCAGCGTCTGAGCATCGTGTGTAAGGAGCTCTGTCCCGGTTCCTGGCTTATGGCGGGAGGCTGTCTTTTCTAGGTCCTCCATCCTGTCAGCGCGCCCTGGGTTTTGACTCCAGCAACTGGGTGAACTGGGTGAACAGTGGTGCCCTTTCCTGAGATGGGAGGAATGGGCCTTGGAGGGAAACCAAGGATTCGGTTTTGGACATGACCTTGGAGCGACCTGTGAGGATTGCAAGTGGAAATGCAACCGGCGGTCGCAGTGGTTCTCAACCTCCTGGCCCTTTAAATACAGTTCCTCATGTTGTGACCCAACCATAAAATTATTTTCGTTGCTACTTCATAACTGTAATGTTGCTACTGTTATGAATCGTCATGTAAATATCTGATATGCAGGATGGTCTTAGGCGACCCCTGTGAAAGGGTCGTTCGACTGCCAAAGGGGTCGTGACCCACAGGTTGAGAACCGCCGGGTTGGGACTCCGAGAAGAGGTCTGGAGGGGGAACTGATGATTGAGGCCCGGCCCTCTTCCCGCCTCCTGAACGTTAGGGACATTTCACTGTGAACTTGGCTGCCGGGCTGGTAGATGCCAAGGTAAAGGCCATGCAGATGCGTGGGAAGTGGTTGTGGTTAAAGTGCTGCCTTTCGTCCAGCTGTTCATCCCGGCCGTTACCATCCTCTCAGCGATGTTTGTTCGAACTGCCTTTCTTCGGTAATTCGATATGTGCAACATAGGCACCAGGTTCCTGTAGTTTTTCCTTCCGGTTTCATCATCAACTAGTTCAAGCTTTTTTTTCTCGTTTTTCATTGTGACTATTTTCCTTGGATCCATGTGGTTTTATACACACAGTGTTTCATTACCAAGTGTGCCATTTTCTAGTTATCTTTTTTTTTTTAACCTTGTTTGAAACTAGCCTACAGACTACAAGCACTGAGGCCAGCTTCACTATTACTTTTCCTCTCTACGACCACCAAGATCGGTGTTCCGATCCGATGGGAAAGGGAACTGGAGGGTCAGGTTGTTTTCAACATCTAACTTTACCTTATTCTAAAACGGGCAGCAACAGGCTGGTATCTGCAGCTATGTCATTATCAGACACTGCCAGGAAGCATGGAGGCGACCTACAGGAAAAAAAAGGGTGAAAGCTCTAAACCAAAAAGTTGATTCAGTACATCCACCTGCATGAACCCAGGTGGAAGGCTCCCAAGCCCAGGTCCTGAGATATAGGAAAGGCGAGTGGCAGCTGCAGGTATTATGCTGACCTGAGCTGTCAAAGTCTCTCCAGGTTGCTCTTGCATGCAGTTGGAGATAGTTAACTTTTTCTTACTGATTTCTGGCTTAATTGCAATGTGGTCAGAAAATGTGCTCTTAAGATGTCAATTCTTACAAGTTTATTACAACCAGTTGTGTACTCAATACATGATCACTTTTCATAAATGTTCCATTTCCATTAGAAAAGAATGTACATTCTATCGTCATTGAGAACAGTGTTTTATAAATGTTAGACTAGTTTGTTAATCAATTGTTAAAATCTTCTATATCCTTACAGACTTTAAAAAATCTGTTTATTGTGTCCATTATTGAGAGAGATGTGGTAAATCTTTCGCCCTATTTGTGGGCTTGTCTTTTGCTCCTATAGAGGATATGTGGTTGGGTGCCTATAAATTGAAAGTTCTTTTTAAAAAATCATTTTTATCATTATGGAATGTCCCTTTTTGTTTTTATTAACTCTAGTTGCTTCAGGGTTTTTTGATCTGCTAGTAAGTAGATTGTATTGTTTGGCCCTAATTCTCACCCTTACATTAGTTACACCTTTTACGTTCACACTGTTTGCTATGTAACTTGATAATGCCTGCCTACCATGAGTTGACCTGCTCTGCTTTTGACTTTGACCTCAAGACATCCTTTGAAGCAGAGGCTTGAAATGGGCTTGCCCAGTGGAACTCTCTTTCTTGGACATTTTCCATCACCATGAGACCATCCTCGGCTAACCTGGTTGAGTGACACATGGAGCAGAGTTAGGTCACCCCAGTCATCCTAGCTGAGGACAGTCTAGAGCTGCAGAACAGGTAGTCAGTCAGCTCAGATGTGTGTGTAGTAAATGCTTATGTTTTTGTTACAGAGGTTTTGTCTTTGGTTGGTACATGCCATATCCTGGTATGAAATAGTGTATATATATATACACACACACACACACACACACACATACACACACAGGTACTATATCTTTTTCCTTCTACCTCAACAAATCAACTTCTTATAAGGAGCATATGGTGGGTTTTGATACTTTAATCTAGACAATTTTTGTGTTTTTTAAATTGGAGCATGAAGTCCACTTACATTAAAAGGAATTGTCTACACTAAAAAAGAGAAAGATGCAAATTGACTGTACCATCATGATGCCCACCAGCCAATCTGGAGTGGGTATGCAAATTAACCCAACAAAGATAGCAGGCTAATTTGCATACACAGGTGCTGAGTGGCCAGGGGTGGGGCAGGACGCTTGTGTCATCGCAGGCTTTCCGCACCACCCCAGCCACTCCAGGCCTCTGGGCAGCCAGCGTGGGAAGGCGGAAAGATGACTCTGGGCTGAGCAAAGGTGGAAATATGGAACCAGGGGAAGGAAGGCCCATTCTTGCATGAATCTTTGTGCATTGGGCCTCTAGTAGATATATAAAGGGTGGGCCAGAAGTAGGTTTGCAGTTGTGAGTACTCAAAAAGCAGAGTTAGTAAAGCTATTGTAATAATCATAATCTGCATGTCTTTTTCCATACAAACAACTGTAAACTTACTTTTGCCCCACTCTGTATTTAGGTTTAAATCAGACATTGTTTAAATTAAATCTTCATTGTTGAGAATATTACAGATGTCTCCCTTTCTCTCCTCTCCCCTCCCCCCATTGCTCCCCTCCACCTTGTTCCTACCCCACCCCAGGCCTTCACCACCCTATAGTCTGTGTCCACAGGGAATACATATATGCATATAAGTTCTTTGGTTAATCTATTTCTACCCCCCATCTCCCCTTCCCTCTGAGATTCATCAGTCTGTTCCATGTTTCCATGACTCTGGTTCTATTTTATTCATCAGTTTATTTTGTTCATCAGATTCCTTGTTCGTTTATTTTGATTTTTAGATTCAATTGTTGATAGATACTTATTTACTGCGATTTTATCCATATTTTTGATCCTTCTCCTTCCTCTTCCTCTTCTTAAAGAATATCCTTCAACATCAAGGCAAGACCCTCCACCAGAAAAAAGATTATGACTTGCTGATGGCTCATTGGTGGTTAGCATTATTTTAGCAATAAAATATTTTTAATTAAGGTGTGTACATTGTTTATTAGGCATAATGCTTTTGCATATTTAATACACTACAGTAGAGTATAAACATAACTTTTATTTGCACAGGAATCCAAAAAATTCACCTGACTTGCTTTATTGCAATATTCACTGTGTTGTGATGGTCTGGTACCAAACCTGCAATGTCTCCAAGATATGCCTGTACTCACTTCCTTTACTTCCTTTCTTTGATGGATTGCTGTCCTTCACGGCCTCTTGTCTACTGTCTGAAAACTGTGGCTTCATATTTTTCCCCAGATTTTTAGTCACTTAAAGTGGGAGATTTACTGTAGTCCCTGTTACTCCATTTTGGCCAAAAGTGGCCACTCAGACTCTGTACTATTAACTACAACACTGGAGTCCTTTTCACAAAAGAACAAATTGGGGCATAACAAAGTTTTCAGGGGTAGAGACTATTGCCTGGGATCAAGTCCTTTAAGACTGTTCTTGTTTGTTTTTAAATACATTGTTCTTTTTCCCCAAAATTCCACACATTCTCTGAAAGTTCCTGAGTATGAGAACAACATTCTCCTATCACAGTGGGGTGAGAAAATGCCGTAGTGACAGTTATATGTCCCCCAATATCTGTTTTTCCTTTTTTTAACGAGTAAGAAAACCCTGTCACTGAAATACCATGTTCAGTTTCTGTAAATGTCCTTAAAAAAAAGGGAAGCATCCTTCTTTATTCCTTCCTCCTTCCTGTTAGCTGGAATCTGAAGTAATGAATGTAGCTTGAGCTGCCACATTGGACCCTGAGAAAGCAGCCCTATGCTGCAGAGGAACAGCAAGGTGGATAATGTCTGGGTTCTTAGTGACATTGTGAAGCCACATACCATATCATTTGTTCTTTCTACCTTTGAAATTTTTTGTTGGCAAAAGAAACAATAAATTTGTTTTATTCCAGGCATTGCTCTTTTGAATATTCCATTATTCTTAATTGAGGCTACCCCTAACCGATTCCATATGGGAGAGGATAGAAAGGAAAGGGGCAGGTACTGTGTGTGTGAGTCACCTGTTAGTCAAGGATTGTATTTTTCATATATCTCGTCCATACCTCTAAGTTCTCAAGTTATTTCAATAGCATATTCTACTTTAAAAGATACATCGTCTGTATATATTATCTAATGTGATGCTTTCAGCATCTATTAGTTGGCTAGTGCAGAGAATATGGTCCTGTTTTACAGCTGAGAAAACAATAGTGAGTGGTGCAATGACCGAGATAAACACTCAAGTTAGTGGGAAGGTGGCATGAAGCTCTAGTCTTCTGTGCTGAATTAAGTACAGTATCCTAGATTATGTATGTAAAAAGAAATCATTTTTTATGGAATTTTCTGTAGAATGGTAACATTTAAGGGAGTACTAGATCCTGATTGTTTTATTTGTCATTGCAGCAAAAGGGTGAACCATGGAAGAGGAGAAAAAGCAGGAGACAAGATCGAAAAGGTGTTCTTCATGCATAGAAGACAATTGCAATCACGAGTGCTATGTCACCTACATTACTGGCTTATACAGCTGTCAGTGGGAAGGCAAACTAGAGAAGCAATCTGGACGTCGATTCTGCTGCTGCTCTTTGGTATAGAGAGATGTGGAAATATAGACCACACTTCCTGAGATGTGGGGAACGTGGGCTGGTCCCTACCACCATGAGGGCTCATTATCTCCCGAACCGGGCATGCTTGGGCTCTAGTTCTCCCATGAAAGGTCTGCCGCAATCCTGGAACCAAAGTTAACCTTACTGAAACATGTGCTTGTGTTCTTTCACTGTTAGTCTTCACTTCTCCTTTTCCTTGCTACCTCTTTTATCATTCATTTATTCATTCACTCACTTTTGCTTTTATTCACTCAGTTGAACCTTGAAGAAAAAGTGAAGTTTAAGTTCATTTAGATGTTTTTGTCTAGGGGATTACAGGAATGTCTGAATATTTAATTTTCTCTTCATTGTGAGTTTTCCAAACGAGCTCTGCTTATGAGAAAGAAAGAAAAAAAGCAAGTGGGAAACAAAGTGCTCTTTTATTTATTTTTATTCTTTTTAAATGTTTTTTTCATGTATTTTTTTAAGAGAAAGAGAGAGAGGAAGGGAGAGAGAGAAATATTGATATGAGAGAGAAACATCAATTGGCTGCCTCCAGCATGCACCCAGATGGGGGATTGAGCCTACAACATGAGCATGTACCCTGATCGGGAATCGTACTGGTGACCTTTCAGTGCATGGGATGACGTTCAGCCAGTTAAGCCACACTGGCCAGGGCAAGGTATTCTTTTATTATTGGTCAGGCTAATGCCTGATTTTCCCTAAAGAAGAACTCTGATAAGCCTGAGTGGTGGCATGTGGCCTACCCTCACCCCATGGCAGTATTCAAGGTAAGATGTTGGTGGCCTGGACTCGAGAAGTGATAGTAAAGATGGAAAAGAGTGAATTGATTAAAAAGATATTTATTATGTGGAGATGAAGTTGTCACACGAGAGCTATAAAGAAGGGCATAGAGCAGTGGTTCTCAACCTTATGGCCCTTTAAATACAGTTCCTCATGTTGTGACCCAACCATAAAATTATTTTCGTTGCTACTTCATAACTGTAATGTTGCTACTGTTATGAATCGTAATGTAAATATCTGATATGCAGGATGGTCTTAGGCGACCCCCGTGAAAGGGTTGTTCGACCGCCAAAGGGGTCGCGACCCACAGGTTGAGAACCGCTGGCATAGAGAGAAAGCTAAAGGGAGGCTCTGTGGGAATGATGACATTTAAGGCAATGTGGCATAGTTGAAAAATCCCTGGACCAGAGCCTGGGGTATGTTTGAGTCCTAATTCCAGCTTTGCCCTTGGGCTGGTTATATGAATTGAAGTAGGTAATTCTCACGGCCCCATTTCTACTCAGGGGAAGGAGTCGAGCATAGAGCATAAGAGCTAAGATCTTGGGTCTGGGAAAGATGGCCTGGATTCAATTTATGGCTTCATCACTGACTACCACCAAATTGGAGCTTTACCACTACAGGAACTTGGGCAGATTAATTAACATTCTGGTGCTTTGGATTCCTCAATAGAATAAGGGAAATGATAGCAATAGTCCCCACCAATAGGATTTGTCATGAGGATAGAAGAGATAATATGTGGAAAACACTTAGAATTGGGCTTGGCACACAATTAGCACTCAATAACTATTAGCTATTTTTATTAATATGTTGGAGTCCTTGCCTTTGGAAGTGATCTTCCACATATATAAATGATTGTGCAGGCATTCCTGACTAGGAGGAATAAGGTAGTCAGAAGTCAAGAGATAGTGAAGCACAGTGGTGTGCTTTCCATCCTCTGATACTCAGAAGTGGCAGTTTAATGCTATGAAACTTGTTATGTTTCCATCTTTTTGGAATATCGTTTCTATGTTTTCCATTTTATTTTTTTTCTTATTCACAATCACCCCATGATTTAATCAGGGTAGGGATTAGTCTACCTATTTTTAACACAGTAAAAGCAGTGTCCCTAAGAGACGGATTTCTTATTTTTGCAATACAGGTGTTAGGATTATAGCTCTGCAATCAAAACCTAATGTTCTCAACGAGGGTTTTGCAACCTCTGACATGGCTGGTTTGTAACATGATTTTCAGTGTAGGGGATTGCCTTCAAGCCTCAGTTTGACTGTCCTCCATCCTGGCTTTGGTCTCACAGATCTGGTCAGTATCCTTGCTACTTGTCTGTTTGATCTTGAGTCAGTTACTTTATCTCGCTGAGCTTTAGTTCTTTCTTCTGAAAAATGAGGGCAATAATACCTAATATAAATGGCTATATTGATAGATAAATCAATGAAAGTAGCTTGTGACGTCCCTAGCATTGTACTAACACAAAATAGCTACTCAAAAAAAGCTTTATTTCCTAAGCTGTATATGCCCTCTTCAAATGTGAATAGGTAAATGACTAAATTAACTGATGAACAATGAATTAATGAATTAATGAATGAGTCATCAAAAAATTAGGTAGATAGAGAATTGTATAAATTCATCAGATAATTGTTGAGAGCCAGCTGCATTTAAGGAACTATGCTAGATATTAGCAATACAACGATGTTAGAAGTTCCTGTTCCTCAGAGTAGAAGCTGTCACAATAAATACAAACATAATTTCATTTCAGTGTAATGTTATAATAGGCTTGTACAAAATTCCATAGGGGTCAAAGTAATACAGTGTTCACTGCAGACTGGGAGAGTAATGCATGGCCCTATACCTATACAGAGCTTTGGCAAGTGTATACAGATATTGCTGAGGTAGCATGGATAAATGGAGTTAAATTTGACTTTCATTTTTTCTTCCCAGGTAGAGCAGTTATTTTACCCATTTCTGGTAATTGCATTTTGCGTGTCTGTGGTTTTGCTGTTCGTGTGGATAGAAACCTCAAATGAATATCATGGCTTTGACTGGTGAGTTTCACTTTTTGTGTTTTCATTTGTGAAAGGGCTTTTTGGTCTAATAGCCACCTGGATAGTATCTGAGGTTGAAAAGATCCAATGTCATAAGAGAGAAGGTGGGCAAAATTGTGCTTTCCACACTTGGTGAATGGAAGCCTGCCCTGGGGTGGGGTAAGGATGCTGAGCACTCTCTCCTATTATACTTCCCGGTCCACCTATGTTCAGTGGGACCAAATCTGGCCAGCCCTGCCCCCTATCAGCTCCTCCCATCCCAACTGGGGGCGGGGCAGGCCAGCCAACCACCCACGTCCCTTCTCCCCCCCTCTTCCCCCATTGGCCCCGGTGTGGGGGCAGGCCGGTCGGACCCCACCCATGCATGAATTCGTGCACTGGGCCTCTAGTTAATAATAATAGTGGCTATGTACCAGTTTTCAACTTTTGAAAACATACAACCACCCTTTGAAATAGGTGTACCATTATTTTCCCCATTCTACAGACGTGGGACTGAGGCACAGGAAGGTCCCAGAGATAGTGACAGGAGTTCGATACAGGCCAGTAGTTCTCAAATATGAACAAGCATTGGAGTTCCTTGGACAGCTTGTTACAGCGCAATCTGCTGGCCTCACACACAGGATCCATGATTTAGCAAGTCTGGGGTGGCACCCAAGAATTGGGATTTCTAACATGTTGCAGAATTCATTTCTTAGTTCTAATAATTTTTGGTAGAATTATTAAGATTTTCTATATTGTGTCATTTGCAAGTAGTGACAGTTTTACCTCTTCCTTTCTAATTTGGATGCTTTTTATTTTGCTTTTTTGCCTAATTGCTCTGGCTAGGACTTCTAATACTATGTTGAATAAAAGTGACAAGAGTGGGCATACTTGACTTGTTCATGATCTTATAGGTAAAGCTTTTACCTTTTCACCATTGAGTATGCTGTTAGCTGAGGGTTTGCTTTTAGTTTCATTGCGATGTAATTGGCATATAACATTATAAATTTAAGGTATACAAAATAATGATTTGATATATGTATAAATTACAAAATGATTACCACAATGAGTTTAGTTAACATCACCTCACATAGCTCCAAATGTTTTTTCTTGTAAATGATAACTTTTCAGATCTACTTTTTTAGCAACATTCAAATATACAATATCGTATTGTTAACTACAGTCATTATGCTGTATATTATATCCCTAGAACTTATTTATCTTATTACTGGAAGTTGTACCTTTTGACCGCCTTTGCTCAATTCTTTGACCCCTCACCCCTGGCTCTGGCAACTACTAATATTTTTCCTGTTTCTATGAGTTCAGTTTCTTTAGATTTAAAGTCATATAAGTGATATAGATATAGACATAAGTGATATCATACAGTATTTATCTTTCTCATCTGACCTATTTCACTTAGCATATTGCCCACAAGGTCCATCCTATGTTATTGCCAATAGCAAGATTTCCTTCTTTCCATGACTGACTAATATTTCTTTCTCTGTGTGTATGTATTACATTTTTTAATCCATTCATCCATCAGTGAACACTTAGGTTGTTTTTATGTTTTTGACTGTTGTAAATAAAGCTGCAACAATCCTGGAGGTACAGATATCTCTTCAGGATAGTGATTTCCTTTCCTTTATGTACATACTAGAGGCCCGATGCACGAAATTCATGCAAGAGTAGGCCTTCACAGCCCCAGCAACTGCCTTGGCCCTCTCAGCTGTGGCTTCATCTGGAAGGTTGTCCAGAGGTCATCGGGACGGTCGTTCTGCTGTTCGGCCATTGCATATTACATTTTTATTATTATAGACTAGAGGCCTGGTGCACAAAAATTTGTGCACTCGGGGGTAGGGGGTCCCTCAGCCCAGCCTGTGCCCTCTCGCAGTCTGGGACCCCTCGGGGTGACCACTTGCTGGCTTAGGCCTGCTCCCCGGGGGATTGGGCCTAAGATGCCAATCAGACATCCCTCTGGCAGCCCCGCAGCCCTTGGGGGATGTCCATTTGTCAGCGGGGAGCAGACCTAAGCTGCAGTCAGACATCCTTAGCGCTGCTGAGGAGGCAGGAGAGGCTCCCACCACCACTGCTGTACTGGCAGCCATCAGCCTGGCTTGTGGCTGAGCAGAGCTCCCCCCTGTAAGAGCACACTGACCACCAGAGGGCAGCTCCTGCATTGAGCGTCTGCCCCCTGGTGGTCAGTGTGTGTCATAGTGACCAGTCATTCCCAGTCTTTCTGCTGTTAGGGTCAGTTTGCATATTACCCTTTTACTATATAGGATAGAGGCCTGGTGCATGGGTGAGGGCCGGCTGGTTTGCCCGGAAGGGTGTCCCGGGTCAGGGTGGGGGTCCCGCTTGGGTGCCTGGCCAGCCTGGATGACGGGCTAATGGCTGTTTGCAGCTGGTCACACCCCCTTCAGGGTGGGGGTCCCCACTGGGGTGCCTGGCCAGTCTGGGTGAAGGGCTGAGGGCTGTTTTCAGGCTGGCAGGAGACTGAAGCTCCCAGCCTCTTTTTTTTCCTTTTTTTTTTATTCTGGGATTTATTTACCTTCTATAGCTGTCACTGGAGCTGAGAGCCGGCTCCAGCTGAGGCCCGGCTCCAGCTCTGAGGCCGTGGCTGGCTGAAAGCAGGCATCTGGGTTTGTTTAGCTTCTATAATTGAAACTCTGTTGCCATCACTGGCGCTCTAAGCTCTGAGGCCCCGGCTGGCTGAAAGCAGGTATCTGGGGTTTGTTTAGCTTCTATAATTGAAACATTGTTGCTTCTGGAGCTCAGAGTTGGGCTGCGGCAGGCAGGGAACCTTGGTTTCCTCCATCATTGGAGCAAGCAAGCCTCATGTTCGCTTCAGCTGTGTGGCTGCCGGCCGCCATTTTTGTTGGCAGTTAATTTGCATATCCTGCTGATTAGCCAATGGGAAGCGTATCAGATGTATGGTCAATTACCATGTTTGTCTATTATTAGATAGGATGGGGCATGCTGACACCAGCTGCTGCTTGTTTAAGAGATTTTAGGACAATCTGAAGCCTGAGCCAGAACAGGCCATTCATATGGAAAAGCTGCTGCAAACAGCTTGGGTGGGGCTGCAAGTTGGATGAGCCCAGGTCTCAGGGAATCACCAGAGTGGAGAAAACAGTGTGAGCCAGGATGATGGAAACTCAGATATGGCTGCCAGTCAGCTATGGGATCAGGAAGGTCCCAGCACAGGAACAATGACCCCTGTGAGCACCTCCATCTGGGAGAAAGCTGCCCCTGAGTTCCTGCCCCAATGCCAGACAGTCCAGTTCCTCCCTGTGTGTCTTTGGTTCCCCCAGTGCTGCTGCCAAGTGCTGGAGCTCAGAGGGATTGAGTCCAAGTAAGTCCATGTGCCAGCATGGGGGACTGTTTAGTCCCCCCAAGTGTGAGTGGAGTAGACTTGTCTCCCCATTCTTTGCTATGTGAAGGTTCCCAGTGCCTCACAACAACATATCTTTTCTCTCTCAGCGTTACTGTCAGCTAACAATTGATGCTGATATAGAGCATTGTGGTATGTGGGGTATGAATTGGGAGAAGATGCCGGACAGCTGCATGTTTTAGCTGTGGGAAGGAGGGAGAAGGTCCTATTCTATTTCTTTAAACATAAGTGCAGAGAGTGTAGATTTAGTTGAAGAGATTGCCCTAAGAAGGCTGTCTCGGTTGAATGAGAAAGCTTTCATCCAACAGGGGTTGTGATCATGCTGCTAGAGGACGGTAACATAGTGGCCCAGAGCAGGGATAAAACTGCTTGAATATATGTAGAGTGAGCCTATTATACGGTCATCAGCAGCTGTGTATTCACAGTTTAAAGAAGGAATAGCTAAGAAAGACCCTTTTCCAATCCTACTGATGTATATGCATTCACTTAAATGCCTTTTCATTCTTCTCACTCCCTTTTGTTACCCCACCACTGCCACCAAGAATGAGTACAGATGAAGTAGTAAAAGGGGAGATAAAAAGAGAGAAAAAAACAAAAACAGTTCTTCCTTTGCCTGTAGTTCATAGCAGGTGGGTGAGCACTTCACCTGAGTTTGGTGAGTGAGTTTTGAGCTGAACTAAACTAATAATACTATTTCCATGTGATTGAATATACAAAAGATCTTTTAGATTGAAAAAAGTGAAAAAAATCTAATGTGGCCAGAGAAATGCTTATAAAGGTAGAGGCACTATTAAATGACAGCCCTTACTTTCCTTATCACTTGGAAAACAAAGTCAATATCACTACTTGCTTAAGCCATTTGATTATTTTTTTGGCTGCATATACACTGCTATTAGTTCATCTTTCATGGTCTTTTTCAAGGTCCCTGTTTTATGGTTTTAATAATCACCATGATTTGTTAAAACACCCTATTTCTGTTACGTGGATGTGAGTCCTTCCTTTATTTCTTTGAATAGCTGAGATATTTTTATTCTGTGCTTCTTTTCTGATGGTTCAATTAGTAATATCTAGTTGGGTGCAAGTTCTCTAATCAGTTCATTTGTTCACATTCCTTATACATCTTATTATTCCTGGTTGTAGACTCATCTATGGACTACTCTCACCAGTGTCTTGATCTAGAATGGCTTTTGCTAGAATGGTTCCTCATCTGTTTCTTGCTTCTTGGTGTGTCTTACACCCCTGACCAAAGAGAATTTCCTTCTTTGTTTTGAAGTGGTTATATGTTCACTAGTTTATATGTTATATTGTTAAAATATACTTCTCCAAGTTACATGGAGAGGAAGTAATTTCTGTTATTTTGAAATGAAGTCTCTAAATTTTTTGACATTTGATATCTAGACCAAGTATAACACTATTTCTCTTAGCAAATCATTAGTAGTTTTTCTCATAAACTACTTTTGGAAAATAACACATCAGGATTGTTTTAACAGCTCAAATCTCTTACACAGAATAGAGCAATTAATGTGGTGGCTATGATTGTAGTTAGGTAAAAAAAATATGTAGTCGCATGGACAAGGAACCTGCCAAAATGGAAAGTATTAGGGTGGTGAGTTTATGGATGATTTTTTTCTCTTTTGGCATTTCAGAATTTCTGTATTATTTTTTGCTCTCTAAAGAGGACATAATTTTTAAGTATATATTCTAAATAACATTAAAACATCATACCACTTATACAGACCCCCATTAAAGTACCCAAAAGTACTATAGGTCAGAGTTAAAACTCCTAACTGAATATCCCCAAAGCTCTTCACATATATGTTCCCAAAATGCTTCTCTTCTTATCTCCCTCAGTTTTCTTATTGCCTCATTTAGTTTAGTCTTAGATGCTACTACTTTCTGCTATATTTTAAGGATTGAAACACATTTTTGCAGGGTTGTTTATCTACTTACAGGATACTGGTACTTCTGGTCCATTCTTTTGCTGAGTTTATTTGGAATCTTGGTTGTCTACACTTCATTGCTGTTGGTGAGTAACCTTCCCCATTTCTCCCACTCCCTTTCTGAGTAGCCTCATGAGGTGCTCCTGTCTATGGTATGGTGCACAGTGGTGCTGGGAGTCCTCAGAACCTAAGATCACTTGTCTAAGTAGCGTTGAGGTTTACATCAACTGCTTGAAATTTAGGAACAAGGGACTGATGGAGAAAAATGGCTATTAGAGGATGCATCTTATCACTTTGACCCTTTGAAAGGGTGGCAGAACATCCTTTTTCTATTCCCCTGTTTCATAAGCCCATTTTATGGTTCAGTCAATATTATTTTAGGCACCCAGAGCTTCACATTAACCTTTATGTATTGAACTAACTCATTTCATTTCCCATCTCCTGAGAATTAGTGTTTTGGGGCTTTATAAATTAACTAGTTTTTTAAACCTGTTATAATATGCAAATGCTAGTCTGCTAGTTCAGATGCAAATTACATGTTAGCAAAAGTCTTTTGGCAATAGTGACCCTGCCTCTGTTGTTACATAGTTAGTGTCATGTAGGGAGAGAAATTCAGGCCAGGCAAGAGAAAGGTGTGGAAGTGGAAGCTTATGGAGGACAACTGTAAGTGCTTAGAGCAGTGGTTCTCAACCTTGGCTGCATATTAGAATCACCTGGGAATCTTTTTAAAATCCTGATTTCTGGGCCTCATCCTCCAGAAATTCTGTTTCTTTTACTAATGTTGTGGCCTCACCCCATAACAAAGAAACAGAATTTCCAGAGGATGAGGCCCAGAAATCAGGATTTAAAAAAGATTCCCAGGTGATTCTAATGTGCAGCCAAGGTTGAGAACCACTGGCTTAGAGTAAGTGGGTTTGTTTCCCGCCAGGCAACTGAGAAACCCTACCCAGAGACAGTGGTCTTTTGCAGAGAGAGAGGATTTATTGTGAGGCAGCTACACAAGGGAGATCAGAGGCAAGGCTCAAACCAGTCTCCTGGAAGAAAGGCCTGAGACAAGTTTTAAGGGAAGAGGGAAAGAGGAGGTTATACATATTCATACATTTATACTTGGAAGGGTTCAATTGGATAATTTTGAGATTTAGGCATAGATAGTAAGGGATATGAGAGCGGCAAAGGAAAGCACAGAGGATTTCCAATCTGGCGGAGTTTGGTGGAAAAGGGTACGTTTCAAGAGTTCCCTGCACAAACTCCAGTTAGCTCAACTCGTCTCAGCCAGTGTCCACCAGTTTTTGCTGGTCTCGGCAGAGGGACTGGAGAAGAGCTTCCTGTGTGTGTGTGTGTGTGTGTGTGTGTGTGTGTGTGTGTGTTTCTTTTTTTTTTCTCTCTGTAATATACTTAAAAACTTCGGTTAGTGTCCAATTTCTCGGTGTCTGGTTTCAGTCCAATCTAATTTGGTCTCCATGTAAGACACAAAGTACTTTGTTAATGTCTGTTTCAGTCCTCGCTTTTCTTTAAATATTCCTCAGTCTTGAGGGATGGGGTGACACAGGTGTAGTGCTGTCTCTGTAAAATAACTCAAAGATTACATTAATCACTAATCTTAATTAAGGGAACAGACCTAGTTTTAAGCTGATTCATATGATTGGTGTGTTGTTTCACACGTTTAGGAAATTGGAGTTTTTCAGTGCCCATTTGTACATAGGGCATCTACGTCTTTCTCTGATTTCATGATTTCTTGTCACTACTGATTTACTATCTGATATAAAAGAACTCAACCCCCAAATAAAGTGCCATTTGCATTTTTTTTTCTCTCAAGAAAATTTATTAATCATGATGTGAGTGATAAGTACTAAGTATACAGAGGCCAACAAAACATAAGCATTTTCTGTTTTCATACAGAGCACTTCAAAGAGATAGGTATGAAATGTAACCTTACTATATATGGTCCCTTAATTGAATGAGTTTGGAATCTAGTAGGGCATCTTAATCATAGAAAAAAGTAACTAACAAAGGCAGAGCATTATAACACCGATGTAAGAGAGACACATTGATTGGTTGCTTCCCACACGTGCCCAAACTGGAGATGGGGGCGGGGGGGTGGGGGGGAGGCCTGAGTCGAGCCTGCAACACAGGTGTATGCCTTTGACCAGGAATTGCAGCCACGGTTCTTTGGTATGCAAGGTCATGCTCTAACCATTTTACCACACAAGCCAGGGCTAGATACTTTCTTTATAATGGGAAAATGTAGATGAATGATGTGGTCTGGGCCAGCCTCTGGCCATTGAATTATACTGCTTTCATAGACAATAAATGTGAAATGCTGTAGTTAGTTTCTAAGGTGGGAATGAGTTCTACTATGGAATAATGAATATTTTTTAACAAATCCTACACCCTACCTTTTATAGATACATGCAATGCATACAACAGTGAACAAAGAGGGAGCCCTAGGTTCTATTTTCAATTCTGTGTTTGAGTTACTTTGAAACTTTGGTCAAGTCATATAACTTCTGAGACTCAGTTTCTTCTGTTTGAAATGAGAATGATAATATTTAATATAATGGTATTTTATAGGGCTGGGTAAAGAAGAAATGAAATCATATACATAAAATTATTTTGATAAAAAGGTAAGTGTCATATATATTCCAACTCTTGTAACGTCCTAAGTATCTGAAGTCTCCCGTTTTCAGTTTCTATCCCTATGCTGACTTTGTGACGGACTAGATTTACATTGAAATCTAAGATTTATTGACTAAATGCCAGTGTTAACAACAGTGGTTAAAAGTTGTTACGGTGACATTGGTTCCTCAAGAAAGCTTTTTTTTTCAAATATATTTTATTGATTTTTTACAGAGAGGAAGAGAGAGGGATAGAGAGTTAGAAACATCAATGATGCCCTAGCCAGTTTGCCTCAGTGGATAGAGCATCAGCCTGCGGACTGAAGGGTCCCAGGTTCGATTCTGGCCAAGGGCACATGCATGGGTTGTGGGCTCAATCCCCAGTAGGGGGTGTGCAGGAAGCAGCCAATCAATGATTCTCTCTCATCATTGATGTTTCTATCTCTCTATCCCTCTCCCTTCCTCTCTAAAATCAATAAAAATGTAAAAAAAAAAAAAAGAAAAAGAAAGAAACATCAATGAGAGAGAAACATCGATCAGCTGCCTCCTGCACACTCCCTACTGGGGATGTGCCCGCAACCAAGGTACATGCTCTTGACCGGAATCGAACCTGGGACCCTTGAGTCTGCAGGTTGATGCTCTATCCACTGAGCCAACCCGGTTAGGGCTCAAGAAAGCTTTTAAATGATGCTGGGAAGGGCTGGCCTCTGACCTCTGTTCTCTCCTAAGTGGGTCTGAGTAATACCAGGAATAAGGTCTATCCTAGGGGTAAGAAATTGGTGGGAACTCGGAAGGATATCAGTGTGGTGGTTTATTATGAATTCCAGAAAAAAATCCTTCCTGAGGGTGCTGGTAAGAGTTATGAATAGGAGGTGGCATGTGAACTGGTTTGAAAGGTCAGTGGCCTGGGAGGGAGAGATTTTCAGGCAGAGGGGCAGCATGGCAAGCTCCCAGGGTTTGAACAGTGCAAGTATAGCAAGAAGTGAATGTAGTGAAAAGGCATTTGAATACAGAACAGTGCTGTGGGCCCCAACTTGGTGATTTCAAAATAACCTCCTTTTTTGTACTTTTCTTTTTCAGATACTTGGATTTTTGTTGATTCGGGAAGGGTATGAACTATACCTGTACTGGTGTCATAAGGTAGGCCATCAGAATCTTCATAGAAACGTTAGACCAGGACTGAATGTGCTTCTTTGGCACTCAGTGTTAAGTACAGAGTTGTGCTTTCTTCATTGTTCCCCTTAGAAAGAAGAGATTTACTTACTCTGTTTTCATTGAACTCATGAAATTCTAACAGATGTGACTGATTTTACTGAAGGATCTGAACCCAAACTTTATTTTTTCTCATTACTCCTTATTAAATTCACCCTGTGACTGTTCTTCTATCCCAATAAAATCTTAGGCAAGCTCTATTACTTTCCTAGTTCTATATAGTGACAAGAACATTCTCATGCCAGTCATTAAAAATTCAGTTTATTGTAATGTCCCAGACTCCAACTTTATAGACTTACCCCCTCCCCAGTGGTGGAAGCCTCCACTGGTGGAGAGAGCATGATGGTACTATTACCTCTCCTTCACCAAAGGAGGGTCAGGGGTACAGGAGACAGGATAAAAGAACACGGTCTCACAAGGAAGGGCAAGAAGATCATCTGGGATTGGTCCATCAGAACCAGGTAAATGCACAGTTGTTGGCTCTTTACCCCATGGACTTTTTCTGTGTGTATTTTCAGAGACCCTTCTGCTGAGAACCTTGACTACAACTCTTTTGGTGGAGTCATTGCTTGTCTTCCTATATCCCTTGAAATTTGTCTGGTGAGGTCCCTTCATTTGGAGTTTTTAAAATGGCACCAGCATGGCTTCTCTCAAAGGATCCCTAGAAAGCAGGCATCTTTGCTCCTCCCCACCCTCCATTTCCAACATAACCTCCCTTATTTTGTTCTGCCATGTGTTTGAGAAGCTCCATCTACATCCTTTACTTTTTCTAAACTGTTTCAGGCATGGGTTCGATACATTTCCTGAAATCAGGAACATGTCAAAATCTCTGAGTGGTCTTCTTAAATTGACTATTACTCTAATGAGACATATTAACTGGAAATGTAAATTTAAGAGTGATTAGAATGGAGAATAACATCCGAGGAATGGTGGCATGAGAGATTCCCTTGGTGTCTCCCCTAGAAGTTACAACAATCTGTACAGCCATATCTCAACAAAGGGTTCCCTGCTCAATGCACAAATACATCTGAGAGAGTCATGCATTGAAACATCTAAAGTTGGCAAACAACAACTGATAAAATAGAAGCAGTAAAAAACCCCTCACAAAAAAACAAAAACATGCACACACAAAAACTCCCAGCAAACAAAAGCCCTAGTCCAGGCGGCTTCACAGGGGAGTTTTACCAAACATTCAAAGAAGAACTAATACCTATACTTCTTAAACTATTTCAAAAAATCCAAGAGGAAGGAATACTTCCAAGCTCTTTTTATGAGGCCAGCATTATCCTAATTCCAAAACCAGATAAAGACACTACAAAGAAAGTATTACAGGCTAATATCCCTGATGAACATAGATGCTAAAATCCTCAACAAACTATTAGCAAATCTGACCCAGCAATAAATCCCACGAACAAGTGGGATTTATTCAGGGATGCAAGGCTGGTACAATATTCACAAGTCAATAAACATGATACATTATACAAACAAATTGAAAGACAAAAATCACATGATCATATAAAATAGATGCAGAATAAACATTTCACAAAATCCAACACCCATTTTTTAAAAAATATATTTTTATTGATCAGAGAGGAAGGGAGAGGTAGAGAGAGATAGAAACATCAATGATGAGAGAAAATCATTGATCGGCTGCCTCTGGCACATTCCCTACTGGGGATCAAGCCTGCCACCGGGGCATGTGCCCTTGACTGGAATCAAACCTGGGACACTTCAGTCTGAAGGCTGATGCTCTATCCACTGAGCCAAACCTGCTAGGGCCAACACCCATTTTTGATAAAAACTCTCAGCAAAGTGGGAATTAGAGGGATCATATCTCAACATAATTAAGGCCATATATGACAAACCTACAGCCAACATACTCAATGGGCAAAAACTAAAACCTTTTCCCCTAAGAACAAGAAACAGACAGAGATGTCTACTTTCACCACCCTTACTCAACATAGTACTAGAAGTCCTAGCCGCAGTGATCAGACAAGAAGAAGAAATAAAAGGCATTCAAATTGGAAAGGAGGAAGTAAAACTGTCATTATTTTCAGATGACATAATATTGTACATAGAAAACCTTAAAGACTCCATTAGAAAACTTACTAGATTTAATGAATTTGGCAGTGTAGCAGGATACAAAATTAACACCCAGAAATCTATGGCATTTTTATACACCAATAATGAATTTTCAGAAAGAGAAACTAAACAAATAATTATATTTACCATTGCAACAAAAAAATTAAGATACTTAGGAATAAACTTAACCATGATCATAGTTGCCCATTCCATAATGGAAGAGAAATTGTTATTATAGGTCGTGTTTGTTCATTCACTGGGCTGTATTTTCAGACATATGCCAAAGAATATCTTCACCGATACAGCTCCTAGGGCAATGGAAACTAAAGAGAAAATAAATGGGGCTACATCAAAATAAAAAGCTTCTGCACAGCAAAAGAAACCATCAACAAAACAACAAGAAAGCCCACTGCATGGGAGAACATATTTGCCAATGTTATCTCCGATAAGGGTTTAATCTCCAACATTTACAGGAAACTCATACAACTCAACAAAAGGAAAGTAAACAATCCAATAAAAAAATGGGCAAAGGACCTAAATAGAATCTTTTCAAAAGAGGACACTCAGAAAGCCAAGAGACACATGAAAACATGCTCAAAGTCACTAATCCGAGAGATGCAAATCAAAATGACAATGAGGTACCATCTCACACCTATCAGAATAGCTATCATCAACAAATGACAAGTGCTGGCAAGGATGTGGAGAAAAGGAACCCTTGTGCACTGCTGGTGGGAATGCAGACTGGTGCAGCCACTGTGGAGAACAGTATGGAGTTTCCTCAAAAAACTAAAAATGGAACTCCCATTTGACCCAGTGATCCCACTTCTAGGAATATATCCCAAGAAATCAGAAACACCAATCAGAAAGGATATATGCACCCCTATGTTCATAGCAGCACAATTTACCATTGCTAAGATTTGGAAACAGCCTAATTGTCCATCAGCAGATGAATGGATTAAAAAACAGTGGTACATCTACACAATGGAATACTACGCTACTATAAAAAAGAAGGAACTTTTACCATTTGCAACAGTGGATGGACCCGGAGAGCATTATGCTAAGCAAAATAAGTCAGTTGGAGAAATATAAATATCATATGATCTCACTCACTTGTGGAATATAATGAGCAACATAAACTGATGAACAAAAACAGATCCAGAGACAGAGAAGCATCAATCAGACTGTCAAACCTTAGAAGGCAGGGGAGGGTAGGGGGGAGGGGGGGAGATCCACCAAAGGACTTGTATGCATGCATATAAGCCTAACCAATGGACACAGACAACAGCGGGGTGAGGGCACGAGTGGAGGGGTGGGGGCGGGACAATGGGGGGATAAGGACACATATGTAATACCTTAATAAAGAAAATAAAAAAATACAGAAAACTTTTCTCAATAAATTTTTGGATACTGCCTTTTATATAACACCAATTTCATTAAGCATAGGCTACTGTTGAACCAAGGTTTCAGATATAGAACCAATTTGAGATGCATAATACCTGGATTCTGATAAACTGAATTCAGAAGCTCTAGTACAGCAGTTCTCAACCTGTGGGTCTCGACCCTTTTGGCGGTCGAACGACCCTTTCACAGGGGTCGCCTAAGACCATCCTGCATATCAGATATTTACATTACGATTCATAACAGTAGCAACATTACAGTTATGAAGTAGCAATGAAAATAATTTTATGGTTGGGTCACAACATGAGGAACTGTATTTAAAGGGCCAGAAGGTTGAGAACCACTGCTCTAATAGGTGTACTCATTTCAATAGTTTTTCACACCAACGAAGGACTAGACTTACTAGACATGGGAGGAGAGACTGCTTCTCTTGGCAAGGGAGATTTTGTTGGGGTTGAAGTTTTAGTTTTAGTGTACTCAGAATAAATCTGGAAGGACATGGTTAGCATCAGGCCTGTAACCCATTCCCCTTTTACCTCATGCTCAAAAAAGAATGAATGACCTCAATCCAAACTCCTTGTAAACATGCTAATAACACAACCTCCTGGGAAACACATATAAAGATGTTTATTAGCCAAAGATAATGAGAATCATTATCTATGAACATATCTAGCAGGATATAACCTGGTCTATCTGGGTTCCCTATTGTAAAGAAACCTGGAATTTCTAGGTTTGTAGGGTTGGAGACATGGCTGGCTGGAGTTGTATAAGATATGGATGTTCCATAACCACCAAGGCTCCTGTGAGGCAGTGTTTCCACATACTTTGCCCAAAACACACCACACATGTTAACTTCAAAACCAGCATGTATCCTAGTCCAGGAGAGAAAAGAACTTTTTATGAATATCTGCATTTGGCAGGATCAGATTTCTCGAAGGGAAACTGTTTTATCTATACTTTATAATTGTCTGTATTTAAAATCACTAGTTAAGGCTGGTATTGAGTAAGGTCACAGAATCCCATGAGACTCGTGTATGTCTGATTTGACAGTTAAATATTTGTGTTGTGATGCATTTGGTTTGCTAATAGGTTATTTAAGATTTTTTTCATCTATATATACAGGAGAGATAGGCCTATATATTCATATGTCACTTAACAACGGGAACGCGTTCTGAGAAATTCATTCTTTGGCGATTTTGTGAACGTTGCAACATGATAGGGTGTACCTAGTCAGTCCTAAATATTATAGCCTATTGCTCCTAGGCTACAAACCTGTATAGAATGTTGCTGTACTGAATACTGTAGGCAATATTAGTGTATCTAAACAAAACTAAACATAGGAAAGATACTGTGCTTTTCTACCATTGGAGTGCAGTAGGTTTGTTTACACTGGCATCAACACAAATACTTGACTAATGCATTGCACAATAACATTACTATGGCTATGATGTCATTAGGCAATAGAAAACTTTCAGCTCTATTATAATCTTACTAGAGGCCCGATGCATGAAATTCATGCAAGAGTAGGCCTTCCTTCCCCCGGCTGCCAGCACCTGGCTTCCCTCTGGCACCTGGGACCCGGGCTTCCCTTGCAGCCCCGGCTTCGTCCAGAAGGATGTCTGGTCTAATTAGCATATTATGCTTTTATTATTATAGATGGGACCACCATTGTATATGAGGTTTGTTATTGACCAAAGCGTTATTGTGGCACATGACTACTTTTTATTTTCTTGTAATGTCCTTGTTGAGTTTAGGTATTAATGCTTTGTTGGCTTCAAAGAGAAGTTAGAAAGTGTTGCTCTCTTTCTATTTTCTGGAAGAGCTTGTTAAAGATTGGAAATGTTTCTTCCTTAAGTACAGAGGTGGGCAAAAGTGAGTTTACAGTTGTTCCGAGGGAAAAAGACATGCAGGTTATGATTATTACAGTAGCTTCATTCTGTGTTTCCCATACCACAACTGTTAACCTACTTTTGCCCAAACCTATATTTGGTGAAATTAAACATTTATGCTGGCAAGGTTTGGAGTTATTTTGTGAGAGGTTTACTTATGGTCTCAATTACTTTAATAGATACACATATTGTAGAAATGAAGGAACTAAGTGCTCTCTAGAAAGTAGGACAAATGTAGAAATACTACATTTCAAGGGGAAGAAGTTAAAGTTATATCAGCTTGGTCTTAATATTTTCTATGAGGTATATGGTGTTCTTGCAGGCAGATTTTTTTCATCTGCTCAAGAAGTACTTATTGAAAGCTTACTATGTGGTTGACATTCTGCAAGGCAGCGAGGATATAATCATAAATATTTTACTTGATCTCATGAAGCTTACAGACTGTTGGGGAAAACATACATAGAAAAGGTAATCACAAAATATTATTTACTTGTGACTATATAGAGTTAAATAAAAACAAAGTAGTGAATATCTGTAATGGCCATTGTTGAGATTGAGTGCGAGATGCCAGGCAATGCTGTGTGCTCAGCTGAGTTGGAGGTGATAATTAGTAAAGGCATCAGACCACGTAGCTGTGTGCTTTGTTTCCAGCCGTGCTACACAACAAAGACTTGGGAGCAAAGAAGGTAAACGATTAGTTCCATACCAGGGAGCTGCAGGACGGTCAGGTTAAAATAATGAGGAAAGAACGCCCCTGCCATTGTGGGGACACACAGACAACTCCCAAGGACAGATCTGACCCAAGCCTAGTGCCTGGAAGTGAGGAGATTGTTTTGTTTTGTTTTGTTTCTGCAGATCCTGGTTATGCTAGTGATTCTGATATGCACTTTTTTTCTGTCGATTTTATGCATTTACTGGAAAGACAGGTGGCTGACGTTTGGACTCTCACTGAAGGTAAGCATCATCCTGTAGGTCAAATACTGTTTGTCCAATGTGGTCAGCCTGACTTTTGGCTTTCTCCCAGGTGTTTGCTCCCCATGTGCATCTGACCATGATAACTCTGATGGTTCTCCTTTCCTGGCCTGTGGCCTACTACTTGGTCCATTTGGAACAAGAAGGTATGTCCTGGCTTTAGCTTACATACTCTACTCAGCCGAACACAAGCGTGGTAGATAGCCACCACTATGTGACTTTGAAATTCACTTAGCTTATTACTCAGGCATGCTCCTTGTGGTCAAACTCATAACCCCATGTGGCCTGTCAGAACATTTTCCTGATCAAACAGGCCTTCTTCTAAAGAGGGATTCTCCTGGGAAAGTAAGAATGATCTCCATGATGTTACACAGTGACTGTCTGGAAATGGAAAGAGGTTTGGGGCAGGGTAGAGGCCATTTTAGTTATATTTGACAGAGTGATAGTACTAGTCACAGTTCCTTTAGATTGTATTCAGATGTTACTAGTTTCAACTAATGAACTTATACGAGGTCCAGATATGCCTGGTTATGCTCTAGTAACGCAAAGCAGGCACCTGTGAGTCCCTGTCATACCTGGGAGCTTAGAGCAGAAGCAGAAACATCTCTCTCTGCCTCTGATTTGCTCTCCATCCTTTGCCCTAATATCATAGAAACAAAAAAGAATCAGAGCTATACATTAAATCGTGTTGAGAATGGAGTTATCTCTCAGCACCCTTCCTGAGAAACCAGTAACATCTTCTTTATATGTATCTCTGTTTACTATTGGTTACATAGGGAGTGTTCGCTCCCTGATTGTACAAGGATAGAGACAAGAGAATGACTGGATTGGTAGTGTTGGCATTGCGAGTGTTTGTACCTGTTTGTATCTGTATGTGGAGGGTGAATTGTAGGAAATGTTTTGGGGCAAAAGTTTAAAGGCGACAATAATGAACTCTTTTTCTTTTTCATTTCTGAAATTTTAGCTAGATTCAGAAGAGACCAGAGTGAACATCATAGGATAAAAAGAATCAAGACATGTGCTAGACTCACAAAGCTGAGAGGTTAGAGCTGGAGATACAGATTTGAAAGTGACTGAAGTATACATAGTAGCTTAAATATGTACAAATAGGTAAAATCCTCAGAGATCTACAATTATAAGTGATGGGGATTGGCCAGTAATAATAAGTATTGTGGATGAGCTGTGTGTGTGTGTGTGTGTGTGTGTGTGTGTGTGTGTGTGTGTGAGTGAGAGAGAGAGAGAGAGAGAGAGAGAGAAAGAAGCAAATGCATAATATTCATTGAGTACCTATTATTGGTAAATACTGTCATATCAACTCTATGAAGGAGTGGTTAGCAGCAAGATAGCCCCATTTTTCAGAATGAAGAAAATGGAGACGCAGGTTAAGCAGTGTGTCCTTAACTACACATTAGACCAGGGTTGGGAATCTTTTATCTGCCAAAGGCCTTTTGGATATTTATATCATCATTTGCAGGCCATACAAAATTATCAACTTAAATATTAGCCCGCTATATTTGGTCAAACATTTAACCTTGGCAGGGCCAGACCAAATGATTTCACGGGTCTTTTATGGCCCTTGGGTCACATGTTCCCCACCCCTGCGATGTCTGGCTTTGAACTCAGACTTCTGTTAGCCAGTGCCCCTTCCACTATCCTGCACTGCCTTATATACTAGGTAGGGCCATTTTGGCTTCAGGGCTTTCTCAGCACCAACCATTCTACTCCTACTCCTGAGGAGGTATTTCTTAACATGCCCTCTCCTTCACTTCCTTCCACCTCCTGCACAATTTATTTCCTGGATATTTTCAGTCAAATACCATTGCCTTAATAATAATGCTTACATTTGGATAGTGCTGTACTTTCTAATGACTGAAAATAAATGGGGATATGGCGGAAATAGAGAGTAAATCAGGCAGTCCATGAGGCACTGAAACCCATGCACTGGGTGTTTACTGGCTGCTGCTTTGGGATAGTTAGTTTCTTGGGTTGGGTCTCCATTCCTTTTTATCTCTTTTTCTCACTCCACCCCCCCTTCCAACTTTTTCAGCTGCACAAGTGGCTATTGGACTGCCTTTTTTTCTTATCCTTTTATTTCTGTTTGTGGTGCCATGGGGATTTTATTCTCCCTGCGTTGAGAATAAGAATAAATTGGGACCCAAGCCGGCCATCTTTGGACATAGAGGTGCACCCATGGTAGGTCTAAGCATGATGAACGTGGGTGAGTACCAGTGTGCATGGGGTTATGGGTGAGAGATAGGGACCTCAGAACCGTAGGAATCTCTGTAAAGGAAAATGAATGGGCTTTTGATGAAAAGAATAAAGATAATTGTAGATGTTGGACTTGAACCCAACCAGGTCACCTAACTCGCAGTCCATTTCTCTTTACTGTGCCCAGTGACATTGCCTCAGATGAGCACAGTCCCAGATCTATTGGGTGGAAGAGAGGGGCTCACTGTTGGGCTTCCCATCTACCATAAAAGGAATGTTGGGGGGAGAAACTCTGAGGTAAAGGGTCTGATGTCCCTTTCTTCCACAGCTGGCGCCTGAGAACACCATGATGTCCTTTGAGAAAGCTGTTGAAAACGACGCCTTTGGACTGGAGACTGATGTATTCTTAAGGTAGGAAAGCAGGGGCTGGGTGGGGAAGAAATAAGGTCAGTGCCATGGAAGATGACCAGCATGGGCCAAAGTGTAAGAGCATAAGCCTCGGGGAGTTTCTCCTGTGTTCCTATGCCAATGAGCACATAGCGCGACTGCACGCGCGCGCAGACACACACACACACACACACACACGGCACTTCTCCCTTGCAAGCATATATCTGTAATCTGTACCACTACATTCTTAATTATAGGGTCATAAATCATACACACTATGTATAGACTCCACACATAATTCAAATTTGGCCCCATTACAAGCCATGCTTAAAAAGTACAACTTAACCCCATGTACTACACTACCTAGCAATATGTTTACCTGACAGTCCCTGGACACCTACTATATTCCAGGCCTTCTTCTGGAGTGCTATGGAGAGGCAAATGAGTACAGTGTACTCCTGCCTAAGGGATGTTCCCAGCCAATGAAGGAGACATGGCATGTTTACAAATACCCACAGTATAAAACCATTTGTGGGGTGTCCCTTCCCGAGAAGATTAAGTCAGACATGGAGGAAAAGGTCACCTCCTATTATATAAAAAATGACCTATGTACTCAGAATTGTGTTTGGGTTGAGTGTTGAAGAATAAATATTGTTTTACATGAAGATATGGTGATAGAGTATATTCCAGGCTGAGACAACAACTTATTTAAAGGCATCTAAATAAAAAAAAACAACACCTTTGTAGATCAGTGAGCTAACCTGTATGGATGGCAAATTGATATGGTAGGGGATGGGAGAGGGCCATGTGAGGAGGAGGTATGGCTGCAAGATCATTGGACTGAATCATGGAGATTCTTAAATGTGTAATGGAAAAGCCATCATAGGTTCCAGCAGATTTCTTACTGTTTTAAAAGATGTGACTTAGAAAAATTCATCTGGCAATCTGTGAGGGAGACTTCTCACGGAGATGGGTAGCGGTGTGTGCAAACTCCCTTCACAGCCTTTCTGTGAGGCAAACAGAAAAATGAACATCCTAATTCAAAGTGAGGAAATGTGGTTTCAACCTGGATTCAATAAAGGGAAATGTTTGGTAAGGTCATAAGGCTGGAAGTACTGATAAAGCCAGGATTGGAACTACATTTCCTGACATTACCCAACCATGACAACTGTTCTATGCAGAATGTTCGGATTGGGGTTTTGAAACAAGGATGTCCTGTCAGAGTTCCTGGGTTCATTTGTGGAAGTGCTTGGTGGTCATGGCATAAAGTGATAAAGGAGCTGAGCCAACGAGCTCCTGGCACATGGTCTTTCTCTCATCTCTTGTTTCTGTGACTTCAACTATGATGCAGATGATCCTTCCAGCTCCTCAGTTTCTCTCCTTGATGGCATCTTCATTTCCAGTGGCCATCTCCACATACTCCATTTACATGGATGGTCATAGCCTAGGCTTCATCATGACCAAAAAGTGCCTATCAGTCAGGACATGAATATCACACCAGTAACTTGAACAGGAAAAATGTAATATCAATAATTACTACGTGGTAAAATATGGTTAACTACTAAAATTGGTAAAGCGGACCCGGTCAGTATAAAAGTAGCAAGTGTAGCTAGTGGCAGAAAGTTTTGTTCCAGATGAAATAAATGTAGTAAACGAATTTCACTATATTCTTTCCAAGAAAAATAATACAAACAAAAAATAAATTAAAAACTTGGCAAAATTCACAAAGCTACTGACAGAAGACTCTGAAAGGTGGAGGAATGAAGGTGGACTGGCTAGTGTTCATAAGGCTAAAGGAAATACCAAGTATGTAGTGAGTTCCCTATTTTTGTTGTTGTTTTGTTTTTTCCTTATACATTCCTACATGAACTCTGTAGAGACCTGAAACCCAGAAAACACCTACAGCTGCAGATGGAAAAAAATAGCCCCCTCCACTTCTCCCAGTTTTTTTCTCTAGCAAAAAACTGGGAGGAATGTGGACCAACAAGATATGAATATGTTGACTATAGCAGCCTTACTTAGGTGAACACCACAGTAAAGCCATTCCCCCCTGCCTGGGGCTCTGGTCCTAGAGATGATGGGCAGATCCCTGTCTTCCATTCCTGCCCTGAAATAAGAGGGGTATCTCTTTCCTCACTCCCCCAACTAGAGAGCAAGGAGAATTATTAATAAGTTATCTAGTGATCTCTTTATTGTGGTAAAAATATACTTAACATAAAAATTTATCAATTTAACCATTTTTTAGTTTTACAATTCAATGGCATTAAGTACATTGATCTTGTTTTGTTACCATCAGCACCATCCATCTCTAGAACTTTTCATTTTCTCAAACTGAAACTCTGTGCATATTAAATAATAACTCCTTGGTCTTTCCTCCCCTGCGGCCCTGGCAACTGCTATTCTATTTTCTGTCTCTATGAAGTTGACTACACTCATACAAGTGGAAACATATAATATATGTCCTTTATGTGTGGCTCATTTTACCTAGCATAATGTCAAGGTTCATCTCTATTATAGCATATGTCAAAATGTCTGTCTTTTTTTTATTTTGTTCAAAATTACATAACATGAAATTTACTATCTTAACAATTTTCAGTGTTCAGCTTAGTAATGTTAAGTATATTCACATTGTTGTGAAATAGATCTCTATAACTTTTTTATCTTGCAAATCTGAAACTCTTTACCTGTTAAACAACTACCCCTTTACTTCTCCCCTCAGCTTCTGGCAAGCACAATTCTTTCCGTTTCTGTGAATTTGTCTACTTTAGATACCTTATATAAGTGGAATCATATAGTACAGTGGGGCCTTGACTTACGAGTTTAATTCATTCCATGACGGAGCTCGTAACTCAAATTACTCGTATGTCAAATCAATTGTGAACGAGTGAGACACATGATGCTGGGCTGATGTTGTGGCGTTCACTGTGACGTTTGCTGCGCCAACTAGCGGTGGGGTATCTGAAGCTGGCTCGTAACCCAAATTTTAGCTCGCAACTCAAAGCAAAAAATCGGCCGAGAGAAGGCTCGTATCTCGAAAAACTCGTTAATCGGGACACTCGTAAGTCAAGGCCCCACTGTACTGTGTTTTTGTGACTAATTTCACTTAGCATAATGTCTTCAAGTTTCATCTATGTGTTAACATGTGACAAGATTTCCTTTTTTAGGCTGAATAATATCTATCCCATTGTATGTATATCCCACATTTTGCTTATCCATTCATCCACAAATGGACATCTTGATTGTTTTTACTTCTTGACTATTTTTATTAAAGCTGCTATGAAAATCAATATACAAAAATCTTTTCTACATCTTGCTTTCAGTTCTTTTGGGTATACACCAGGAAGTGGAGTTGCTGGACCATATGATAATTCTATGTTTAATTTTCTGAAAAACTGCTATGGTAGAGCATCTGATTTTTAAACCTTATATATAAAATATTAGACAGACTTTTGTATAACTCATGTATGAGACCAAACAGAAGCAAAACAGCAGAAGATCTGATAACTGAACATTGATCTGGAGCACCATTAGTTTTAGATTGACCTCTGGGAAGCACATAATGAGAATGGCCAGAAAAGCATGGCAAAGACTTTGAAAACTAGATTAGCATTTAAATCGTAGCCCACAAAACATGAGCCAGGACATGTATTCTGGGTCTAAACATGGTAACCCTCACCGTAGCCAGTTTGGCTCAGTGGATAGAGCCAAAGAGAGAGACTAGAATCATAGATTTAAAAATATACACAGTCCTGATCAGTGTGGCTCAGTTGGTTGGGCATCATTCCATGCACCAAGAAATCACCAGTTCGATTCCTGGTCAGGGCACATGCCTGGTTTTCAGGCTCGATCCCCAGTAGGGGGTGTGAATTCTCTGACCACAATAGAATCACATCAGAAAGTGGTGACAAAAGTAACAGAAAAATCTCTAAACAATTGGAAATGAAACAAATCTACTTCTAAATAATCCATGAGTTAAAGAAAGAGGTATCCTTTATTTGATATGTGATTTGCAAAAATTTTTTCCCCTTATGTGTACTGTTTTTCATTTTTTGATGCCAAATGATTTTGACAAAGATGCAAAGAAACTCAATGACCCATGGCTCACACCATCCTATATAATAAAAGAGAAACATGCAAATTAACTGCCCCTCCGCTACGCTCAAGCCACACCCACATTGATGTTTTTCTCTCTCTCTGTCTCCCTCTCCCCTCTCTCTAAAATAAATAAAAACACCTAAAAAATAGAAAAGTAAAAATATGATACAAATATGTGCTGTGTACTAGGAATTCATCTTAGGGGGCAAAGAAGGAGAAAATTGGGGACATCTGTAATACTGTCAACCATAAATAATAATTTTTTAAAAAGAAATTTACCTCAAACACAATGATTTAGGTAGGTTAAAAATAAAATAATGAAAAAATATGCTATATAAATTCTAATCAAAGCTAGAAGGGCTAGGCTATATTAATACTAGACAAAGTAGACTTCAGAGCAAAAAAAATCACCAGAGACAAAGAGGAATATTACATAATGATAAAATTAAAAAAAATTCGGTAAGAGTACATAATAATTCTAAATATATATCAACCCAAAAACAGAGCTTCAAAATACATGAAGCAAAAACTGAAAGGAGAAATAGACAAACGCATAACTATAGTTAAGGACTACAACACCCTTCTCTTAGTAATTATTATAACCACTAAACACAATACCATTAAAGATGCAAAATAGCCCTGGCCAGTATATTCAGTAGGTAGAGCATTGGCCTGCACACTGTAGGGTCAAGGGTTTAATTTCCAGTCAAGGGCTTGTATCTAGGTTGCAGGCACGATCCCCGGTGCACATGGGAGGCAAGCAAACAATATATCTCTCTCTTTCTCCCTCTCTCCTTCCCTCCCTTTACCTAAAATCAATGGAAAGATAGTCTTGGGTGAGGATTAAAAAAAAAAGATGCAGAACAGCTAACAACACCATAATCAACAGAATCTAAGTGACATTTATGGAACACTCAATCCAAGGGCAG